TAATTCATGAAGATTATCACTTATGTTATTCATCTAAATCAAGTCAATATATTAACATTTAGTTTAGGTACGGTATATCTATATCACTTTTAATTATACTTTTGTTTGGTTTTAATATATACTTGAGATGAGATGCGTAGTTAATATTGCTTTTTTTATTACAAATTTTATATTGATTTTTCATCCTATTTTTTAACTTTGAAGATTTTAAAAGAGAGAGAGGTACCCAAATTAATAAACCACGAATATCATGTAATGCTATTATAAAAACTTAGGGATAAGATGTGGATAAAAACTTTGAATCTTATAATATAATATATAATAATATATATAAAATGCTACCGTATGCATTAAATAGAGTATGCATTTATATATAATAATTTATAATGTAATAATATATATTTATTATTTATTATATAATTATTTTACCTTAGCCTTTTCTTTACATACGTATTAATTCAAAAAAGAGAAGAGAGAGAGATGTGCCTTTTTGTTTTCCCTTTCATGTAAAAAACAAATTAAGTTTTAACATATATAAAACTTTTCATATTCAACTATTATTTATTAAAGTATTATTTATATTTATTATATTCAAATTTTAGTATTAAATTTAAATAACGTATTTGTAACAACTAGAACTCTTAATCTTCCTTCTCTAAGACTATAAAAGACTACAAAACTAAAATCTCCAAATCTTAAAACTAAGTGTCTTGGTTGATGGTATTTCTAATTCATGGAAGCTCTCCCTCTACAAAATTAAAATCTCCAAGCCCCAAAAGTAGTGTCTTGGTTGATAGTATTTTCTCATTTACGGAGGTTATCACTCACGTTATTCATCTAAATCAAGTCAATAAATTAACATTTAATTTAGATATATTTATATCACTTCTAAGTATAGTTTCGTTTGATTTTAATATATACTTGAGATGCCTAGCTAATGGTTGCTTTTTTTCACAAATTTTATGTTGATTTTTCATCATCTTTTTTTAACTGTGAAGATTTTAAGAGAGCGAAAGGCACCAAAATTAATGAAACACAAATATCATGTAATGCTATTATAAAAACTTAGGGGTAAGATGTGGAGCAAAACTTTAGATCTAGAAAGGCAACAAAATATAACAGTCCATAAACAACTCAAAAACAAATGGAAAGTGCAAAAAAAAGTTTTTATTTTTATTTTTATTTTTAAAAGCAATACATATTTTGTTTTTAGGTATATGTATATTGTTTGGATAATGATGCATGCACACTCTCGCACCACACACTTCGTTACACACTTTAATTTCCGCTATTTTGTCGTTAATTACATTAACTTCGTTACCATCTCTTCAGCCATCTCCCAACCTAGTCATTTGCAAGACAATTGCCAGCCTCTCCCAGGTTCCCACCTTCTTCCTTTTTTTTTTTTTGAGAACTTGGGAGAAAAAAAGAAAAAGGAAGAAGGTGGGAACATGGTGAAAGTGAAATGGAGACTAACAAAGTGTATAATGGGAGTGTGGTATGAATATGTGTGTGCCAATCATGGTCCATATTATTTGTTTGTTAAAATTTTCAATTTATAGTCCTTTTTAAATATTTTATAAAAAATAGTGATAATTAATTAATTTTTTTTTGATGAATCAAAAGTGTTATTAATAAAAGAGTACAAGGGGTACTCACCCATACATTACATTAAAAGTTCAATAAGTTAAAAATCAACTGCACAATGGAGTGGGAATTGACACTAGTCCACGAAATTGAACTTAGCACAGGTATAGTGATAATTAATATAGTTTTTCAAAATATTAAGAGAATAAATCTATAAGAAAAAGGGAATTAATTAAACACTAATTTTTTCATTTTATTTTAATTATAAAAAATAGTTAAAAAATAATTAAAAAAGAATATATATTATTTTTACATAAATATATAAGAAATGTGATTAATAATTGAGTTCAATTTTTTTCTTTTTCTTCAATTTCTTATCTTCTTCTTTATTATTTTATCGTTATTATTTTTAATTACATATAATGTATTGCATCAAAGATAGAGTAATAGAAATTGATTTTTATTAAAATAGATACAAATTATAAGATTATAATACACAATAATTATTATTATTACACTACTAATGATCTTAAATGACCCAAATTTATTTTTACCATTCAAAATTATGCAACTTTTCTTTTGACATTTTTAAAGTAAGATAGATGTATGAAAGCATGAAATATATAAGGTTGGGAATATACAAAGACTTAGTTATGATTTATTTAAGTAGTAAAAAAATGTAACTTGAATGAAAATTATTATATTATAGTTGATAATGAAAGATTAAGAGTAACGAAATTAATAATGTAATATATAAATGATAATTGTTATATTATTTCAATATTAATAAAAAATAATGATAAAGAAAAGAAACTAAAAATATTTATTAATAATTTGAATATGGTTTTTTTTTTATATTAATGCATGAGTTGAGATGCAAAGGATCTAATTTTTTATTGTTATTATTGTTATTATTATATATTACTATTACTACTTAATTAAAAAATAAAAAGTATAAGTGAGTGTGAAGACAAAAAATCTGTATGTATTGAAATTCCTTAATGAAAAATGTGATTTCAAATTTTCAATTACAATTATTATATCATGGTTTAGTGAAGAATGTAATCTTTATTATAATTATTATATCATTTTTTATTGTTGTAGATGAAAAAGTAACATGATAAAAATGACAATTATTGATTTATTGCAAAACATCATTAGTTAATAATACTGAAACACATAAAAAAAACTCAAACAACATATAACCTATTTATAAGCAAAAAAGAAAAAAAGAAAAAGAAAAAAAAAAGAATGAAAAAAATAAAGCTAATATAGATAAATTAAATGAGACTAGAAAACCAACAACTTAAGCAACATGATATAATCAAATAAATAGATGACAAAAAGTTTAAATCCATTATGCAACTCAAAATTAAATAAATAAATAATAAAATTTTGAATCTTAGTCAAATAAAAAAACTATTACAACTAAAATTGTTCCATGCTTAGGATAAACGACAAAAAATTTGGAAAAAAAATAGATAAAACAAAAATGATAAGATTTAATGTTATAATAAAAAAGCTATCACAACTAAAATTGTTCCATGCGTGGGGTGAACCACTAAAAATTGGGAAAAAAAAACATAGATAAAACAAAAATGGCAAGGTTTAATATTATAAAATTAAAATAATAGTAAACTTTGATCATTTGAAAAAGTTTTAAAACTTCAATTTACGGTATATAAGAATACAATTTTTCAAAATGGAAAATACAAAAAATATAGTTTAAGTTGTAAAAGTACAAAATTACCTTAGGGCAAAAAATATATTTTGGTGCAATATAGATTCTAAAACACTTTTTTTTATTACATATTGCAAAAAACTTCAGTCCTTTGTTCTCTAATTTAATTAACAAATACAATTTATATTTCTTTAAAATAACTTTATCATTTCTTTTTGAACATCAATTTTTTTTATTTAAATAGAGTATAAGGAATATTTCTACTTATAAAATAACTTTATCATAAAAATAATTATAAAAGAAAATCATGCAGTGTAGATATAAAATAAAAAAATGTGTGCATGGGCTAAAATAACTAAAATAATAATAATAAGAGTGTTATTTAGTTTTATTTAATTTTTTTTGTAAATGTTTTATTCGTTGTTTGATCTTAATTCTAAAGCAATTGAAATGCAAAATTTGTAAGGATTTATGTTCTTATTCCACTTTGGTCTTTATTTTTTTAATGTGATTTTGTACAATTTTAAAAAATAATCTTGCTAATTAGCGAATGCAATAAAATCTTTTGAGTAAAAAATTATTATAAAATTAAAA